GAATCTCTGAGTGTAGTGCAAAGTTTAAATTTCTCTCTACAGTGAGCAATGTTATACCAAAGCTTAATATTTCCTGTATGAAGATTTTCAAGAAATAGAGACTGAAAAGACCTTTAATTAGCATTTGTGAAAGAATCATCTGTATTTCACATAGAGAAAACACGGGAGCTTTCAATAAAAAGACAGTAAAGACGCATTTCCTATTCAAAACCTCTTAAAATCAACTTCTTTTAAAATGAAACACAAATACATATAAGAGGTTTTTGGCATGTAAACAGTCCCTTTTAATACCTTTCTGGTTGCAAACTCTTGATCTATAAACCTTTCTTTACATAATGCTGCTCAACATCAAATTTTCTTTTCTAAAAGACCAACTATTGGTAACTAAGTTAAAATGTCCGTGTCCCACAGACACAGTAATACACAAATACTTAAAATCACACAAAATTTTAAAAAGAAAAACACAAACGAAAGTCCAGAAATTCCATGCGTGTGCAGTTTCCCTGTGTCAGACTGCAGGTCCGGTGACGCTGAGTTAGCAGCCAGAGCAGCACAGTACGTACATGATTTCAGTTTCACTTCCTCATCTGCCATTCTACATAAACAAGTCTGGATAAATTTAACCTCTCTGAGCCACAACTTCCTGCTTTGTAAAATTGTGATTCTACCTTTGGTATATCATGACAGACAATTCCTTCAAGTTCTTTACAGCTTCAAGATTTCCGAGGCTAAGGTTTGATCTCTCCCATGCATTTGATTCCTAATACCTCATTCTGTTTTGGCTATTTGAGTCAAAGCATTTTCTTTTGCTTTTCCTATTTAAAAAATTATAAAATAACACCTTTTCTTCCCATTTTATACTTTCATAAGACCCTATAAAGACAAAACATGATGTTTTCCCTATTAAGACTTATAAATGTACAGGTGACAAATGTCCTACAGGTTTAAAACACACACACACACACACACACACACACACACACACACACACACACACAACCAAAACCTGTAAAAGTGCTAGCTAGTTTGCAACTCATTCTATATGGCCTCCTTTCGTTCAGCCACACTGGCTTCCTTGCTCTTCCTGGAATGTACACACTCTGTCTTGGCCTTTACACAGGGGTGGGAGTGGAGGACGTTTTCCTCAAAAATTCCCAGTGCTGGCTCCCTCACTACCTCAGTGAGGGCTACCTTGATCAGTCTATTTAAAAAGTGTCAACCGCCTCTCCCTCACTACCCCCCAGGCCCAGCACTCCATTTCTTTTTCTCATTATTTTATAGTCAGTCAGGAACTGCTTTAAGTTTTTAGGAAGAAATTGTTTTTTTGTTTTTTTTTAAATATATTTTTTTTTATTGATTTTTTACAGAGAGAAAGGGAGAGAGATAGAGAGTCAGAAACATTGATGAGAGAGAAACATCAACCAGCTGCCTCCTGTACACCTCCCACTGGGGATGTGCCCGCAACCAAGGTACATGCCCTTGACCGGAATCGAACCTGGGACCTTTCAGTCCACAGACCGACGCTCTATCCACTGAGCCAAACCGGTCTTGGCAGAAGAAATTGTTTTTAATAGGAAGCAAACCAGTAGTGATGATGGAGGCCGAGTGTTTAGCTAGGCTGATTTGGTAGCAGAAATGAGGAATAACTACAGACTGGGAATATAAAGAAGACAGATTTCAGTAGTAAAATTAACAGGAATAATTTTGGTAGTAAAATTAGTAAGACATAATAGCTTATTCAATAGGGGAAGGAAAGGGAAAAGAGCATAACTAAGTTGCTTAAAAAAACAAAGCAGGCAGCCTTGGCCAGTTGCTCAGTGGTTAGAGAGTTGACCTTCAGACTGAAGGGGTTCAGGTTCGATTCCAGTCAAGGGCATGCACCTTGGTTGCAGGCTTAATCCCTGGCCTGATCTTGGTCGGGCTCATGTGGGAAGCAACCAATTGATGTATCTCTTTCTTATCGATGTTTCTTTCTGTCTCTCCCGTCCCTTCTACTCTCTTTAAAATCAATGGAAAAAATATCCTCAGTGAGGATTAACGTTAACAACAAAAACAACAAAGTCAACAAACATAATAGCCCATTTTTCCAAGAATAATTTTCTAAGCATACTTTGCATTTTCAGACTAAATATTAGTTTTATTTTTTTCTGAAAATGTATGACTTTATTTTAGTAATTACTGTCCATTAGATAAAAATAATTTTCCTGTTTACAGATATCATTGGTACATGGACAAAATCTATTCACCTTTTAGAAAAATGTATAATGCTTTGGGGCAATTATTATCAAACACGTAGGGCACTCAGAATAGGCTTCTGGTTTGAAACTAAAAGGTAAAGCTTTTATGTGTATTTCTGACTTCTAAACTTAGTATCTCTCAACACGTTTGTAAAGCTCACTTTTGAGGAAAAATAAAAAAATCTTGGACTACCCACCTCTCCCTCTGTGGCAAGAGCTATATGCAGTCTATATTGTGCTTTTATATCAAATAAGATTTTTAAAAATCTTCACCGTCTGTCATTTATATTATTCAAATAAAAAACTGTGATACCTGATTTAGACATTATATACACAAACTCAGAAATTATGATATAGTTTCCAGGAGGATATGATCACCCTCTTATGTAAAAAACACCAACAGGAAATATGTTGACTAAAGTAAAATGAGCATTATGGCAAAGGAAACTTTTAAAGGGACCAATATACACATGTATCACAACTGCGATCCTTAAAATAATTATATTAAATAAGCATAAGCAGAAACTATGAAAAATTTGAACTGCATTGCTAAAAATAATAAAACTCATTTGGATGAAAAAGAAAAGACTTTGCTGACTTTGGGTTGTTAACTTGACAGATTGCAACACATTACCATGGCTTCCTGTTTCCACTTCTGACATGGATTCCAGGCTTGTTGGGTCTTTGTGAAATAGTCGCCTTACAGCTCTACAGCCTCTTCCATCTTGCCACCGATATCCATCTTCACTTTCTTGAAAGGAGTCTTTTCTTGGTCGGTTCATAACAGGAATTCTAGGTCCTAGTCTGAATTCTCTCCAACTCTCTGAACTACCAGCAAGTTCATCTGATAGCCATCTCTTACTTTGATCTCTGTGGTTGTCATTTACCCAAACGGGTTGACTGTAAATTGGGTTTTTAAATGCATATGGATTGCTGGAAACAGCATATGGTCCTTTTCTCGGAGTATTCCCATAGTTCCCTGGTGTAATTTTTTTCTTGGGAAGGCCTTTTTCCATTTTATTGCTATGGCCTTTGGCATAATCATCCATTATTAAATAATCTTGTTGAGGGTGACCCCTTCTGAAATCCTCATCTTCTATAGCTCCCCGGTCTTTAGCACGCTTCACAAAATAAGGTTTTGCTGTATCTCCCATGGTCTTTGACTTCACTTTCCTTACTTTGCACCTGAAAGAAAGCATTTTGGGGGAAAATCAAACTATAACGAGATATCATACCTAGTGTACCAAATACCACATGTATTGCACAGATGCTCAAAAGCCCATAAGAAACTCCCCCCCCCCCCCAATTTTCATCACATTCCAATAATCAGTGTGTTACACTAGAAGTTAGGAGGCTTATCCTATGATATTCATCATGAAAATTAGTACTTACTATCCTATATAAGAAAAGGCTAATATGCAAATCAACCGAATGGCAGAATGACCGGCCGCTATGATGCGCACTGACCACCAGGGGGCAGATGCTCAACTCAGGAGCTCCCCCCTGGTGGTCAGTTGGCTCCCACAGAGGAAGCGCTGCTCTGGTGGGAGCCTCTCCCACCTTGGTGGCAACCTTAAGGCTGTCCAACTGAGGCTTAGGCCTGCTCCCCACCAGGGCTCCCGGACTGCGAGAGGGCCTAGGCCAGGCTGAGCGACCCCCCCCACCCCACCCCCAGTGCAAGAATTTCATGCACCGGGCCTCTAGTTTAACATGAAGATTAAACCTGTGACTATGAGGCGCTCTCTATAGTCTCCAGAAGTGGAGTATTAAAAAATGTTACTCAGACCAAGTTTTACCTATATGACAAAAGCGCTTCTCTTAAAAAACAAAACAAAAAGAAAAACCTTCATCCCAAGCCTATACTGTTAGAAAACTCCCGAAACAGTCTTTAAAACTCCACGTTCCCGTCCCTCCTCCGCGTCCCGGGACCTTGGCTCACCTCACCACCCCGATTCAGACCGATGGCTTCGGTCGCTTGGGTGACGGAGGCCCCACCGAGGCTCCGCTCCAGTCAAAGGGGCTGGGTTTCCAACCAAGAAACAACTCTAGCGACTCTTCCCCGTCCTCCTCCTCCAACACCAAACAAGTTTCGTTTTTGTCACAAACTGCAATTTCCCCTCTACGATCCCCATCGGATCGCCCCGCCCCCGATCTGCCTCAGTTTCCACCCTTTGGGACCGGAGGCGGAGAAAGAGGAAGCGTCCCCGTACTCGCGGCCACGAAGCCACCCACCGCGGGTACCAGGAAGCAGGAAGTGACCTACCTCCCCGATGGGTTCCGAGGCCCCCCGGGCTGGCCTCCACCTAAATCCCTTCTTCTTCGGCCCTCGCAGGGTCTGACAGAAAGTGGAGATACGGGCTCGAACCCGATAGCTCAGTCCCCGCTGGCCTGGCCCCTGGGACCGAGGCCAGCGGAGGATGAAGCCAACGTAACTCCTGGGCGGAGCCCGCCCTCCAGTCTGGGGACCGGGGAGCCTATCGGAGACTCACCCCGGAGGCGAGTCTGGGAGAAGACGCTCGGAACACTCACCACCTCCGCGGCGTTCCTCCGCCTCCCTCGGTCCGGGCTGGGCTCCCTCTCTGTGTTGTCTTTCGGCCCCACTTCCGGCGCTCAGCGCTGGCTCATTGTGCGCGATTGGGAGACGGGGGTTGCCCCCG